TATACTACGTAAGTAACGTACTACGACACACACACACACACACACACACACACACACACACACACACACACACACACACACACACACACACACACACACACACACACACACACACACACACACACACACACACACACACACACATAGTAAAACTATATAAATAAATGAGGTGATGATATTTCTGTTTACTTTAGAAGTTGTTATACACTGTATGCTGTGATTCTGATCAGGGAAACATTAAAGACATTCATAGCCAGTCTCAGATTTGGTCTCTTTATTGAAATAGTTTCAAGTCATGTTTACTTGTTGACAATAGCACTTTTATATTAATAATCTTTTAAGTGATTAATAAATGTAAATATGTGATATCAGGTAGTTGAAATAAAAGTCGTTACAGATTTGTAGCAAAGAAAGTTACATATCATACTCGATTAGGTAAGAAAAACTACCTGAAGGATAAATTACACGTTGACATTTAGACTGAAATATCTTTAAAACATTAAAAATGAAAAACAAAATAATGACACAATCCAATAGATGTAACGTTCTGGAAAGCAATCACATATCATCCTTAACTTGATTCAAACGTTTTGTATCATGTTGACATGCTGAATATGAACAAAATGACATTCTAACTGATTTAAACAAAAAAATGTGGCATTTGATGCCGCCCAAAATGAAAACTAACATAACACATTTTGAATAAATAGTATATAACATGAACATTCAAATGTAAATATTTTTGAACTAAATTCTTAATTGGAACAAAAACAAAGAATTCAGGTTTTTGGTAAGAAGATCACATTTAGCACTCAAAAAGGTAAGAAAAGAAATGCATGTGTAATCTACATGTTGACATTTAGATTGAAGGATATTTTAAAACATTGAATTTGTAAATATTTTTAACTGATGTTTTTATGTATTTACAGAAACAAAATAGGAATATAATCTAACTCTCTGGGAAACGGTCACATATCAAACTGAACTTGATTACAACAGACTTTCTGTCATGTTTACATGTTGACTGTACCACCACTAAAACACAATGATTCATTCACTGATTTAAACATCTAGATTTGTGGCTTTTGATTCAGCTCAGAAATGAATAGACAAACATTATAAACGTGTCAATAAAAACGTAAATAATAAGAAGCAGATACTTATTTGAAATAATGTGAAAAAATGAAGACATTTTCTATTCTTCCTGCTGACATGAAGTCTGAATTATATTTTAAACATTGAAATGGAAAATCTTTTTTTTACAAAACCACAGAAAAATATAAAAGCTAACATGTTTGCATCAGATTTTTATCAAAGATATAAAAACTGTCAATCAAATCAAATGTTATTAATTGACACTATAATAACATTTATCCGTACCAAAAAAGGATTCAAATTCTGATTTAATCAAACTGAAACATTGAGTATGCTTCCAACATCTGCATAGACTAAACATTTAGAATGTCCTCATCAACATTAAACAAAGAAAACATTTTTTTGTTGATTAAACATGATTAATGTTATCTCAGGTGAGTACTAATTGCAGTAACTTTCTTATGTTCTTTGTAGTAAGCTGTGGTACAATAAATCATATAAACAGTACGTTACTTTGTGTGCTTCTCTTCCATATCATATAAAACAAGTGAAATCTAAATATCCATGAGAGGATGATGACTGTAATGAGGAGGACTACACCTCTGTGAGCACAAAGCTTGTAGTTTCTCATTTGATATGAAATGACTCTTTGAGGCTTGCCTCTGCTTGCTCAGGTGTGATTTCTTTCCATGTTGCAGGAATATCAGCAGGCTTTGCATCAAATGCTTCAGCCAGCTGTTTGTTGTACTTAACCAGTACATATTTCCAGTAGTTTGATGCCTGGAGGCTTGCATCTGGTGTGATTTTCCAGCCCGGATAAATCTCTTTGTAACGCTTGTAAGGGTGAAATACCCAGTTTGTAGCCATACCCCGAAATGAATCTTCAGTGATAACAGAGGATGAGCATATATCAGTGACAAGTTTGCCTGAGGTCAAACACCTGACCAGACCCAGAGCCTGTGGACGATGTAGTGAAGCGAAGTGCTCAGTGTGGGCTGTTCCTCCTGCCTCACAGGGCGCCTTGCAGAACGGACACTGTTGACCACATCCGATCAGTTTGTTGAAAAGCTCGTTCTGAGGATTCACATGAAGGTTCAGTAGTTTAACTAGGAGATCTGTTCTTTTAAACTTCTCTCTAAGAGCGTGTGCCATGTCTTTGACAGACTTAAAGAGCCAGTGAGCAAACTGTTCCTGGTCTGCATTGTTCAGGATCATGAATGCACCAAGAGCACCCTGGGAAATGACCAGTTTGTCACCAAGCTCCTGACAGACAACTTCAACAAATGACTTTACGTTGCCACTCTTTTCTTTTTTAGCTTTCTGGATGGCATTATGTATGCTGTTGATACATGACTGGAGATGTTTTTCCTCAAACATCGTAGACCCATTTGAGAAGCGTTCCACTATTTTGTTGAGTATCCATTTCTTTACACAAATCTCATATGAGCAGATAAAGCTCTGGTACTTTTTAAAGTTATCCTTTGAGTTCATATCCAGTAAGACTGAATACTGGAAGGACATTCTTGTGCTGAACTGCTCACTTGTAAGCATTTCACCAATGATATCAGGACCCAGGGAGCGGTTTATGAATTCTTCGACTGCAGGCTTCAAGCAGCTGTGTGTGAATTCTTCTGCCTTCTTCTGGCACTGGTCTACATTATGGAACACGTCTTTAAAATCAGCAAGAAACTTTTCTTTGTTTTTGTTCAGACATCTGTAGGGATCATTCTCATGGATGAAATCTTTGTGCATTTTCTGAAACCTTCTGGCTGCATTTGCACAGATGTGCTGTTTCAGAGAGACTTCAAAAGTGATGTCTGATTCCTGATTGTTTTGCAGCCTCTCATCAATCATGTTTAAAATCTCTGCGATGTAGGTATCATGGTAATTACTTTTTCTTTGCATTGTATCAGTCACAAACTGAGAGCAAATTGTTATGATGCTGTCAGCCATTTGTTGAACAGCCTGTGTGTGACTTGAAATGTTTAAAAAAAGTTGTACTGCCTCTTTACATTTTTTGATGAATCCTTCAGCTTTATATTTAAAAGGATCCTGTCCACACTCTTCCAGGATTTTTCGATTTATCAAATCACTTGCGTGACTTCCCTTGGTTGATAGATTTGTTCTCAGGTGGTGAGACACACTGGTGAAAATGTCCTCTACCTTCATTTTTGAAAAGGATAGTTCCTTCACTGTTTTAGTCCACATCTTGTCAAATTCTTCATCCAGCTCTTCCTCTGACATCTTGACTTTTTTCTTCCAACATTCTTCAATCAAAGCACATACTCTGTTCTCCAACTTCTTTGTGTGGTTCTCCTTGATTCTATCCATTTCTGTCATCCCCTGTCTGACGTCGGCTGCTGCTGTGAGCTGATTAAACACAGACCTTTCCATTTCTCCTCGAAGGCTCTTTGCGCTGTTTGCAAAATCCTGTCTGTATCCTTCAACAAGATAGACATGACCCTCTGTTTTCTTGAAATACTGTTCCAGATTTCCAAGAAGCTTTGTCTCCCATTTAGACAGCTCTGTCAAAGCTTCGTTTTTCAATAGCATGAGAAGTTCTCTCATGTCAGATATGTTGGATTTATCAGCAGCTGTACCGAAGTTGGAGATTCTTGTTTCAGCTTGTGTAACCCATGTGTACATTTCTTTTTTGAATTCCCATTCCCATTTGTTGAATTCTTTGCACAGCCTCATGTATGCATCAGCCACGAGACTGTTTCTGAAGCTGAAGATGAAGTTTTCGTGTTTTACTGCAGTCCACAGGCTCTTCATCCACTCTGTAAACTCCAAGATATTATTAGCTGACGATCCACAACTTCCCAAAATGGTGATTATGTTCTTCTTGAGCTCATAAACAGCCTCGCTGTAGCCTGCATTGACTGGTGCCATTGGTGGGTTTCCATTCCAGAGTCCAGGAATGTACCAGTTTCCAGTGTCTGGACTGTACTCCATCACGTCAGTGAAGCTCATGTTCTCTTCTTTCTTTTCCATTTTGGCTGCTGCCTGGGTCATCTCGTTTAACTGTTCCAGGAGCAGTTTCCTGTCTCGCAGGTTCTTGTCATGGGCTGAAACATCGGACACATTCTGGTGAACAAACTGACATTTGGGCTTCTTTTTTCCCACCTCTGTCATCCTGAGGAACGTTCTTTAGGATGTCCTTCATTTCTGCTGAATTCTCCATTGCAATATTGATGATGGTGATATCACTCAGCCCCACAACAAGTGTTGCAAGCTCATTGTCGTGCTCATAGCTATTGTCCAGTTGTGCGAGCTCTGGTGACTTTAAGCCCTCAGTGTCAATGATCACCATGAAGTCACAGTTGAGGTCTTTTCTGACATTTTCATTGATTTTAATCAGCAACATAAAGGCACCTCGAGTGCATCGACCGCTGCTGACTGCAAACTGCACTCCAAACATGGTGTTGAGGAGAGTGGACTTTCCTGTGCTCTGAACTCCAAGAACTGTGACTACCAGGATCTTGTTCTTAGGAGACACCAAGTCATTGAGCTGAGAGAGAACGTCAGTCACCCATCTGAGAGGTATGTTGGATGCTTCTCCATCTACAAGCTCAAGTGGAAATCCAGCAAGCATTAATTCTGCACATAGCTTGGGGAGATGCTGTAGTTGTTGACGTGCTGGGTCTGTTTCAGGAAGGTAAAGGGAAGCTTCATATATCTGCCCCATCTCACAGAAGAAGTGTTCAGTCCCTAAAGAGCTGTTGGAAAGTTGTTGTTCAATTTTCTTTATCTCTTTGTTGTCAGAGTTTTTGCATTTTTCTTTGTACTGCTCCCCGAGGTCAAAGAGTTTTTCTCGAGACACGTTATCGAGGTTCATTCGCAACCATTTCAGGAAATAGCACCTCTCTATCCCTGGGCTTGAAATTGCCTTAATGAAACATGTCATTGCCTTTGACATGTCATGAGAGTTCTGTTTTTCCTAAGTTGTTTTTTCTGTTGCTGAAGATCACTTTTGTACTTTTCTATATTTTTAGACCCAACTTTCCGAAGCCGGAATTCTTCTTTCTCCAAGCGAGTAAGGTCCTTCCATATTTGGCCTTGCAAGGGAAGCTGAACTTCTTTGTATTTAAGAATGTCTTGAATTTCTGCAGTGATAGCATCTGCGTTCTTCTTGCCGTTCTGGCACTCTGGAGAGTCTTCATCCACCCCGATTCCCAGTTCATGGGCAATGTCAGCCATCTTCTCTATTCCCATCTTCATCTTT